TCTTTTACCCCTGTACCATTTTTTATGCGAGTAGTAGGATTTACTTAGAAATAACTCTTTACGCGTAAACGCAAAAAAAAAAAATTCCTTTGTTGTTAGACGCAGACAATCCAGGTGACCGCCGTTATACATGAGGTAAACACCAGGAAAAACATTTCATCCTGTTCACATTTCTTCAGGCCACGGAGACAACCAATCAGAGCAAACAATAAAATGTCCCATCAAATGATTAGGCTCAGCACACGCTTATAAATGAAAAATAAACGCGAAGCGATATGCCCACGGACAACCCATAGGGAGCGCGTGGCCGAGGCGGTGGCTGGCGGAGCGCTGCGAGCGCTCCGGGCAATTCCATTCTGCTTCGAGGGAAGGACGCTCACTCGGGGCTCAGCGCAAACTGATAAGCGCGTTTCGCTTTAGCTGAGCCCGAGTGAGCGTCCTTTTCTCGAAGAAGAATGGAATTGCCGGAGCGCTCGCAGCGCCCCCGCCAGCCACCGCCTCGGCCACGCGCTCCCAGTGGGTCTTTCATATTGCCGGAGACTGTACATGACGTTACACCTCGCTGTCCCAGCGCGAATTACCCCTTTTTATATCTTATCCTACCAAGCTCCATCATTCGCGGGTACCCTTCTATTCTTTACCGTGCTTGATTGATTAATTGATTGACTGATTGATTGATTGATAGGATTGACCGATTGACATGATCGATTAATTAGTTGATTAATTCATTTGTTTATTAATTCATTAATTGGTGTGATTGGTTTATTGATTGGTTGATGGATTGATTGATTAAGTGATTGATTGATTGAATGATTTATTTATTTATCTATTTATTTATTTATTCTTTTACTTGTCATACTCCCAAGTCACGGAAGCAGGGATCAGAGATTGTAAGATAAGAAATCGGTGGCGAGTTGCTCGAAATAGGTGGCTTCAGAGATGGTAGTTAGAGATGGTAGGCAGGAAGATGGCTCTGCTCGGTTTGACGCTCTTGGGGCGAAGGAGTCGAAATATTCGTTTTTACGACATGCTGGCATTCTAACCTTAAACTGATGATCCGTACCAGATGACAAATAGGGTGCGCTAAGAAAAAAATCATCTCTGATAATCGGGATAGAATTATATATTTTATGAAAAAGACAAATATATTAACGACGTAAGGTTGTCTCATTGTTCTACTAGAAAATGAGCCTACAGAACATGGTGTGAAGTGTACCCGTAAAGAAGAGCTGCCATTTGCTTACTCCTTCAGGTTCATAGCGGAACAGTCTTCACGCAGAGGCCTTTAAGGGTGCTCGCCGATGGGCCGTGCCCGCCGCCATATTTGAGCTATGGGGATGTGGCCAACTTCGTCGAATTGACGGCGAATCCCGACATTTGACTGGTTCGGCGAACCTTCGCACATTGACAAATTTCGACGAAGTTTGACTTCTTCGTGTGTTGTCTGACTCCCATATTCAAAGGAAAATATAAAAAGAAATACCTCGTTTTAAATTTTGGGGAAAAAAACAAAAATAAAAACGAACCATTTAATGATGTAGCTGCAGTCAGTGACAGCTCAAGAAACACAGGAATTCGTGGCCAACGAAATTGCGTTGATAAGAAGGAACCAATCACAGAGTGTGAACATGGTAAGCCACGCCCCGTGTTTTTACAGTACCTTCAACCCCGCCCCCACCCCCGAGGCGGTGCCACCTCGTTTCTAATTGGAGCGCATGAGTCCGACCCTTGCCGAACCTGTAGTTGAAAGTCGGAGGCGGTCGAACCCGTTAGAACTCGAACCTCGGTAGGGTCGCAACGAAGTGTTCATAGTCGGTGTCAGTTTAAGATCGCAAGGGAAGCTCTTTCCACTTTCGAATACCGAACGCTGGAAAGGAGGCGACCTCCCCTCGAGCGTCCGCCCTTAGAAAGTAGAAAGAGGTGAAAAGAACTCCCCCTGAAATTTTAAAGGGGCACTAAAGAAGATTCTGCCAATCGCCTGTTCTTGGTCATACCTAATTCTACAACCCTAAAAATCCTAAGAAGAAAAAAAATTACAATCGCGCGACGCCGATTTTTTTTAATAAAAAAGTGAAAGCTGCTTACAACTCCCTGTAACGCCGAATTAGAGCGCAGCTCTTGAGGAGGAGGAGGGAAGGGCACTGGGGGGGGGGGTTAAACTAACCAGGGGGGGTCACGTGACCCCCAATGCCGATGATGTCACCACTGACGTCACTGATGACGTCATCAGTGACGATGACGATGCGGGTACCGATGACGTCATTAGTGACGTCACTGATGACTTCACCAGTGATGATGACGATGACGATGCGAATGTCGGTGACGTCATCAGTGACGTCGCTGATGACGTCATCAGTGATGATGACGATGCGGATGTCGGTAACGTCATCAGTGATGATGACGATGACGATGCGGATGCCGGTGACGTCGTCAGTGATGATGACGATGACGATGCGGATGCCGGTGACGTCATCAGTGACGATGACGATGTGGATGCCGGTGACGACATCAGTGACGTCACTGATGACGTCATCAGTGATGATGACGATGACGATGCGGATGTCGGTAACGTCATCAGTGATGATGACGATGACGATGACGATGACGATGCGGATGCCGGTGACGTCATCAGTGATGATGACGATGACGATGTGGATGCCGGTGACGTCATCAGTGATGAAGACGATGACGATGTGGATGCCGGTGACGTCATCAGTGATGATGACGTCATCAGTGATGATGACGTCATCAGTGATGATGACGATGACGATGTGGATGCCGGTGACGTCATCAGTGACGATGACGTCATTGGGGGTCACGCGACATCGGCGGGGGTCACGTGACCTCAGGGGAGTCACGTGACCCCGGTGGGGGGGCTCGCGCGGTGCATTATGGGACATTTCCCATGATGCACCGGGGTCACGTGACCTCGGGGCGGTCACGTGCCCCCCACGAGGTCACGTGACCCCGGTGGGGGGCTCGCGCGGTGCATTATGGGACATTTCCCATGATGCACCGCGCGGTTACGCCGACGCCGACGCCGACGCCGACGCCAACGCCGACGCCGACGCCGACGGCGACGCCGACGCCGCTCAAGCCGGAAACGGGCCCCTAAGAGCTGCGCTCTAAAACGTGACTACGGGTCTTAACACACCACTTTCTGGACAGCTGTTTCTGCTCAGGAAAGGCGGTGCATAACCCTGCAGCGGTGTCAGCGCAGTGACGGCGGGCCCTAGGCGGCTTGCGATTGGCCGGCGAGCGGCCATTGTCACCGCGCTAACACCACGCTGACACCACTCCTGGGCTATGCCCCGCTTTTCCTGAGCGAAAAATTCGACTCAGAAAGTTGTTTGTTTCAACCTTTAATCACATTTTTTTATAAAGAAATAGGTTGTTGCGTGATTGTAGTTTTTGAATTTTTAAGATGATTAAGGCCTGTAGAATCAGTTACGACAAAGAACAGACGATCGCAGAATCTTTTTAGGGGTGAAGCTCCTTATGGGCTAGCTATGTCCGTATGTCCGTCTGTCGTCGGGTGCACGTACTCCTGCTCGTGAGCTCACGCGCTCACGTGCTCGTGTAGGGCAAAAAAAAAAAGAAAACCTCATCTCCACGTAGTGAATGATATTGATTGGGGCGAAGCTAGGTGCTTGTCTGCGTATAGCCGCAGCATGCCGAGCCTTTCGTTCGTTTTCATCCATGTCAGAAAGAGAATGTGTGGTATGGAACGTGGTTATATACACGTTTGAGCATTTGACCTCAGCGTGACAAGGATGAAAGGCTCGGCATGCTGCGGCTCAGCGTCTTCGCAGACAAGCACCACCAGAGCTTCGCCCTAATCAACATCATTCACCACGTGGAGATGCGGTTGTTTTAGAGCGCAGCTCTTTGGGGCCCGTTCCCGGCTTGAGCGGCGTCGGCGTCGGCGTCGGCGTCGCCGTCGGCGTCGGCGTAACCGCAACTCTCGTAACCCTCGTGAGGGTTACGAGGGTTACGAGGGTTAATCTCATGAGGGTTACCCTCACGAGGATCACGAGGGCCACGACGGTTACTTACCCTCGTAACCCTCACGAGGGTTACGAGGGTTAGTTACCCTCAAAAGGGTTACCTTCACGAGGGTTACCCTCCACCAGGGTTACTGACCCTCGTAACCCTCACGAGGGTTACGAGGGTTAGTTACCCTCAAAGGGTTACTTTCACGAGGGTCACCCTCACGAGGGTCACGAGAGTTGCCCTCACAAGGGTTACTAGGGTTACCCTCACGAGGGTCACGATGGTTACCCAGGTCACGTGACCCCGGGGGGGGGGGGGGGTCACGTGACCTGGGGATACCCCCGAGGTCACATGACCCCCGTTGACGTCATAGCCACTTATGACGTCATCAGCGACGTCACTGATGACGTCACCGGCATCCGTATCGTCATCGTCATCATCACTGATGACGTCACCGGCATCCGCATCGTCATCATCACTGATGGCGTCATCAGTGACGTCACTGATAACGTCATCGGCATCGTCACGTGGCCCCAGGTCACGTGACCCCACGGACGTCACGTGACGCCCCAAGGTCACGTGACTCCCACAAGGTCACGTGACTTCCCACCCCCCGAGGTCACTTGGCCCCCCCCCCCCACCAGTACCCTTCCCTCCTCCTCCTCAAGAGCTGCGCTCTAATTCGGCATTACAGGGAGTTGTAAACGGCTTTCATTTTTTTAGTGCCCCATTGACCTGTCACCGACTATAGTTTACACGTGGACGGCAGATATGAGCACAAATCTATAGCGTGGCGCGAAAGAGACAAATGAAACAAAGAATGGAAATGAAGCGGAGGCAAGGGTTATAATCGCGTGTACGCTCCAGCTGCCGATATCTGCTCCGACCCGGGCTTCGTGGAATACGATCAAAGAACAATCAGCAGCCGCCAGGGAGCGACTGCGGAGGGAACGCAAAGCCGGGAATAAATACCGACGCCTCCGGGGCTGTGCCACGCACGGCAAGCAGTGTCGTTTCTCCGGACTGGACGCAAATTGCCACCAGAACTGCCGCGATGCTCGCCTTAGCGTTCTTGGTGCTCGCCGTCAGCGTGGGAAGCTGGTTTTATTCGTGAGTACTGCTCGCCGAGTTTTCACATCATCGTGTAGACCCTTTGAATCACAGTCACACTTATCATGCATCTTATACAGAGGACAAGGTGTTCGCTGCGGATTGATGGTAGAATTATCCGTAGAAACGTCTCAAGCATAGCATTTTTTTTCGGGCATACTGATGGTTTGCATTTGAGAGCTATTGCAGGTCTGGGTAACATTAAGGTAGGTTATACAGAACTTGGTACGAAACATAACATACATTTTGAGACAAAATTCAAAGGATGGACATCCCACACAAATCACTTATACATCTTTCCTGAAACAAATGTCACTTTCGCCAAGGGACGTGGAAATAAGTATTCCAGACTCAATCCCATAAGCAAATGTATATATATATATATATATACATATAATTACTTTATTTTTTTACAATCAACGTGTCAGTATGTGACCTCTCGCGGAAGCTTGTTCCTATTCTCAAAGGAGAGTGGAAAGAATGATTGGTTAAAACACTTTGTTCGACAGAATAAGATTCTTAACGACCTAATGTGAACGCCTCTAACTATGCGAGGCAAACTCTGTTTCAAATAATTAATTGTGTCAATATTCAAAGCATTGTTCAATAACAAAAACAAGAAAAGCATCCGAGTGTTGTAGCGCCTCTACGGTGTCCAACTTGGCTTGTGTGAAGAGAGGAAACAGAGAATGGAGGGTGCTATATTAATTATACTTTACACGAGCTTACTGGCATTAATGGGACTCAACTATACTCTCGCACAACGAAACTGACCAAGGTTACTAGAACACTAAGTTGTGAAACTCACCGATGAAGCCTGGGCCGCTGGCGTCCACCGAGACCGAGCTAAACACGACAACAGCACCACTCTTTTTCGTTTGTCTTTTCTGTGGTTACCTTGAGCTCTTAGAAAGCATGTTTCTGAGTGAAAACAAACGGAAAAAAACTCTTTTTGTAGTAACTTTTATTTGATTTTAGTACGAAATAAAGGGCGCGTTATGTTTTCTATAATCTTTAGTTTGCAAGGTTTAACGGCCCAATTAATATCGTTTTTATACAACCATGCCTCAGCGGCATACCTCGGCATTCTCACTCATGAGTGCGATCACTCACGATCACTCACGCTCACCGTCAGATTTGAGGTGATCGTGAGTGAGGCCGCGAGTCTCGGAAAATTGTGAGTGTGAGTGTGAGTGTGAGTCCTGAGAACTGACGAGCGTGAGTCTGACCGTGAGTGTGATCGCGAGTTCTGGGAACTAATGAGCGTGAGTGCGAGTGTGAGCCCTGCGAACTCATGAGCATGAGTTTGATCGTGAGTGTGATTGTGAGTTCTTAAAACTCTTGATTGTGAGTGTGAGCTTGAGCGCTAAGTGAAGTACTCATGAGTGAGTTTTGAGGTCTCTTGAGTGTGATTGTGAGTTTCGAGGCTCATGAGCATGAGCCTGAATCAAGACGTGAGTCTTAGGGTGGGTATGAGTCCGGTGATCGCATTAGTCCGCGTGATGACGTGAGCCTGAGGACCATGGCCATGATGAGTCGCGGTGAGCGCTAGTATTATCTTAGCTGGGTTGGTCACGTGAGCTCCCGGGCCGTCTTAGTGGGCGAGGAGACTACCGCTTCGCAACTACTGCGTGGGGTTCAGGGCTTCAGGGTTGGTTTGGGTGTCGCTCGCCTGCTCCTTCGCCATTTAAGCGCGCCGGTTCCTGTGGAGGGCGGAGGAGGGGGGAGGGAGGTGCTTGTTCTTGCAGGCTCCTCCTTGCCAGCGCTCTCCGCAATCTCTCAACCAGCTGTAGAAGGCAAAGGGGGTATGGGGGGGGGGGGGGGGGGGGTCGCTTTCGTATCTCCTCGGCGTTCGCTCTTCGCTTCCCGGCAGATGGCGAGACGCCAACGGACTGATGGCGCCTCGAGGCGGCGCGGTAACGTCGGAGTTGGGGAAGCGCTCCAAACGGTTAGCGCTCCTCTCTCTGTGGCATAGAAAGGTTCGTGTGGATTTCGGTTCCTGTTGTCACGTTGGTGTCAGTGGGCGCAGAATTTTATGATTGCGTCAACTATAATGTTCGCACGGCTGCAATAAAATTAAATGACTCGCATTACCCTCATCAGCACCCGGAATTTTATTTTTCCCCGCACCTCAACGTACCTTTCGCAAATGAGTTATCACTCAGGAAGTGCAATAAAGGCGGTGTCATGATCGATCGAAGCTTCAAGTGAGGTCTTTCACATTGTGCGATATCATGCTTTAAGTGTAATTTGGGGCAAGCTGGCGCAAGTGCATGACAGCCAGCCGCCAATGGCCAGGCGGCGCCACGAGAGTGCTGCATTCAGCGCCACAAGCGGAAGTGTGTGTGTTAATCGGTCGGCCAGTCTGCCCGTCGGGCCGTGGCGAGCGGCGGCGACCCCGATTTCAGCAGTCCCCGTGTGCACGTGCGCGCCATGTCCCTGTTTATTTTATGCGGTTTTTTAAGACCATTGGGAGCCTTGATAGGTCGAAGTGCTTAGAGCATAATCTGGAGTTGTCATTTGGACACCAGTTTGAACTGTCTTCGCGCACTTGCGGGGTCGCTCTATAATAATCGCTGCCCGATCGGTCTGTGCTTCGCTCGTCTCCCAGGAAGTGACACAACACAACGAGAAGGCAGCGAATGGGTTTACTGTACTTCCCGGTTGCCCGTCTTCGAGAGCCGGCAGTCCGGACGCGCCGACCCTAGTTGTCACCTGTCGTTCATAGATCGCAGTCGCAGTCCGTGTACACCCCTGCGGATCGTCCTTCCCACGCACTGCGTACGCTAGCTGTTCCGGGCTATCACAGCCAGAGTTTCGCTGCGAAACCACTCCTGGACCGTCATGGCCGAGGCCGACAAGGCCAGTCTCGCTGTTTCCGCCGGTCCCGATCTGAAGTTCGCTGGTGGAATGCTCCGGGGACCGACATGAGCCGGACCAGCCAGAACGGCTCTATCGTTCCTGCCCGGCTCCAGCCTCGTGCAGCAGGCTCTTCCTCTTTCCTCGCCGGCTGGCCCCCGCTCGCGCCTCGCTCGACCGTACTCTTCTCCCGACGCCCCCACCACACTAGAATAAAATGTGGGCAATTAGAACCAAACTCTGCGTGCTAGAGAACAGTGCACAAGCCTGGTGTAAAAAGGCGACAGGCAAAAAAGTGTGCGTGTGAGAAGGATATTTACGCTTCGCACGAGCTTTTCCTAGAAAAAAAAATGTGCATCCTGCTTTCTTCACGCCGTCACATTTATCACCAGACTCAGCATTAAATTTGGTAGCCGAAACAAACAAAAATTTGTTCTACGAAAATCCACTATTTGAAAACTTGCATGCTTAAAAGGTTTTGGTTGCGACCGCGCGTGCCGAACGGCGCGCGCGGTGGCAACCAAACGCACGCCTACAACTACGAGTGCCGGAACAGGTCGAAGGGCATCTCGCTTGAAGACCTGATCGCCTGATTCTCGACGTCAAACCGAAGCAACAATCGGCCCGATTTTTTCTACTGTATTTCTCTAATAGCTGTCTCAGAGACTCGTAAAACAACTTGTATAAATACGGTATTTTGCAAAAGGAGTCTGTCAGACCACTTTCCAAGCCTGCACATATGTTTTCGTTCACTTTAACAATTAATGTAAAATTCACTTACTTGATGCATCGCACTCCAGTAATCCACTTTGTCGCCGTGTCGCTTCCCAAGATCTTAAAGGGAAGCGGTAAAGTCTGACGCTTGGGTAACCTTCGCGACTGTGGCCGTCTTTCACGCAGCAGTAGCGACGTTTATTTTTTGGGGAAAACTCTAGGCTTAGGGGAGATGTCACAGGAACCCGGAAAGGTCATAGAGACGTGAAGTTGAGACTTATTTTTTCGAAAAAAAAAAACAACTCCAAAAAGGCTCACGCCGATCCAAACTTCCACGTTCACACGTGGTTTCTAAATACGCCCGCCCGCGGGAGGCACTCACTTGATCGAATGACGTTTTAGCGAACGCCCACGTTTCATCGAATGACACTTTAGCGAATAGTCGGATGCCGCGAAGCGGCGTTTTCGGGTGGGCCAAGTGAGTTCATATTTTTGTAACGAGTTGCCGCAGACTGTCGCCGCGAAGCGGCGTAAAGCGCAGCGCGACGGATGGGTTAACGCGCGCCCCCGTTATTCGCTAAAACGACCATTCGCTCAAATGTCGCCGTTCGCTAAAATGTCATTCGCTCTTGTGATATGGACCCCCCGCCCGCAGTCCTCGCGACCCGGGCCGTCTTGGTCTACCCAATTTGTTTTATTTTTCAGTCGCTAGATGACGCAACGTCTAGTGCCAAGCTGCATTGCTGGTTGCCTATGGGCACACTTAGCAAACTGTGGAAGCTACGACTCAGTGGGGAATTAGAGCGTCTAGAATGGACGCCTGTGAGTTAGAGTATCTAGACTGGACGCCTGTGAGACGCTGTCACGTGCTTCACTCCAATAAATCTACTGGCTCATCGGGATTCGTAGAATTCGCCGTGTATCGTTTGCCTTCGATAACGGAGGCGCGCGGTGGCCGCAACGTCGCGGCGCCTGCCGTGGCCACAACCCGGCCACGGCGGGGCTGCCGGCGCGCCGGCTGGACGCGACTCCGAGGCGCCAATTGCCCGGGCTTCTCGGGCTTCGTGCATGACGCTGTGCTCCGCTTGGCCGCTGTTTATTCATGTTTTTTTTTACGTTATTATGGTTGAATGCATAGGTACTCGGGGTGAGGCAAGAATTTCTTGTAAAACAAAAGTATTATATCTGATAACCAACTTTTTACAATTCAATTCTGAAACACTTCTTATCGTTGGAAGGCATATGACACATATCGCGATAATTCAAGTCCGTAATGAATTTTTACAATGATGTAGCAAAGGGCAAGATTGATCAGCGGGTCGTTGAAACGCAACTACTGCGTTGAATGAACACTTGTTAACCGAGCGACAGAGAATCTGTCTCGAACCGATGGTTACAGAAAGACCGCGGGTTTAATCATTATGCAA